AGGGAAAATCGTCTAAAAAAGGAAAAACTAATAAAGATAAGACTGCTAAAACGGATAAAAAATCGTCTGATAAGGGAAAATCGTCTAAAAAAGGAAAAACTAATAAAGATAAGGCTGCTAAAACGGATAAAAAATCGTCTGATAAGGGAAAATCGTCTAAAAAAGGAAAAACTAATAAAGATAAGACTGCTAAAACGGATAAAAAATCGTCTGATAAAGGAAAATCGTCTAAAAAAGGAAAAACCAATAAAGATAAGACTGCTAAAACGGATAAAAAATCGTCTGATAAGGGAAAATCATCTAAAAAAGGAAAAACTAATAAAGATAAGACTGCTAAAACGGATAAAAAATCGTCTGATAAGGGAAAATCATCTAAAAAAGGAAAAACTAATAAAGATAAGACTGCTAAAACGGATAAAAAATCGTCTGATAAGGGAAAATCATCTAAAAAAGGAAAAACTAATAAAGATAAGACTGCTAAAACGGATAAAAAATCGTCTGATAAGGGAAAATCATCTAAAAATGAAAAGAAATCAGAAAAGTCTAAAAATGAAAAGAAATCAAACAAACCTAAAAAAGAAAAGAAATCACAGAAACACGCAAACGAAAAGAGGTCTGGAAGCTCGAAGACACCAAAGACATCAAAGGAAAACGCAAAGAAACCAATGAAGCCTAAACAAGATAATAAATCACATGAAAAGAAATCTAAGAAGAGCAAGAAATCAAACAAACCAAAAAAGGAGAAGGATAAGAAAGCAGAGAAACCAAAGAAGGATAAGAAAGCAAATAAACAAAACCAAAGCAAACCAAAGAAGGATAAGAAAGCAGAGAAGTCACCAAAGAAGCCCATGAAAGCAAAGAAACAAAAGAAGGAGGGTGATAAGAAATCACAAAAACAAAAGAAAGATAAGAAAGCAAAGAATACACCAAAGAAGCCCAAGAAAGAAAAGAATGTAAAGAAGGATAAGAAAGCAAAAAAACAAAACAAAACCAAACCAAAGAAGGATAAGAAAGCAGAGAAGTCACCAAAGAAGCCCATGAAAGCAAAGAAACAAAAGAAGGAGGGTGATAAGAAATCACAAAAACAAAAGAAAGATAAGAAAGCAAAGAATACACCAAAGAAGCCCAAGAAAGAAAAGAATGTAAAGAAGGATAAGAAAGCAAAAAAACAAAAGAAGGAGGGTGATAAGAAATCACAAAAACAAAAGAAAAAAAAGAATGTAAAGAAGGATAAGAAAGCAAAGAAACTAAAGACGGAAAAGGATAAGAAACCAAAGAAACCACAGAAGGATAAGAAAGCAAAGACAGCAAAAAAACAAAAGAAAAAGAAGCCCAAGAAACCAAAGAAACCACAGAAGGATAAGAAAGCCAAGACAGCAAATAAACAAAAGAAAAAGAAGCCCAAGAAACCAAAGAAACCACAGAAGGATAAGAAAGCCAAGAAAGAAAAAAAACAAAAGAAAAAGAAGCCGAAGAAAGCAAAGAAGAAAAAGAAACCTAAGAAAAAGAAGAAATCGAAAAAATAAAAACATAAAAAAATGATTAAACATTTTATATATATATATATAAAATATGCACATGTATAGCTATTAACAAAATGTCATCAATATGAAATGATTATTCCACATTTTACGGAAACTGTCGAATGTTTTTTAACGATAAGGCATTAGTTAGGCCTATAACACTGACAAGAACGTTAAAACGTCATGCAGTAGAATGTGGATGAGTGATAGACGACAGAAACTCATTCCATTTTTTTGAATTGTCGTTACAGCAGCGAGAACCGAAATTTTATAGCCTCATGTTATTCTGACCTTTATCATATATATTTTTGACTTCAATGTCACTGTCTGATTCGTCCGCCATGTAATCTTCCTCTCTACACTCATGCGGACATAGTAGCCTACAATGCGGCGTTTTACCCTGTGTCATTTTAAAACGTAAATTATCATCAGAATTTTAGGATATAGCCTGTGGCGGCGCCAATGGGGGTACAGTAGGTTACATTTCTAACTAATTTAACAGGAATGGTTATTATATGTTTTTTTGTTCAGTCGTATGCAATACAATATATTTGTATCGCAGAAAAACAGAAAAGAATATCAAGTTTTAATAAGATTGGGCCTTAAGCTTGAAGGCCTACTTAGAAATTTTCTGGTGAGTGGGCGTTGGCCTATTTAATTGCAGGGTAGACTGGGGTTAAATAATTTATTATTTATTCAAAATATCTTGAGTTGCCACGATGACAGTCAAAATCAGTTGACGCTATAAAGAAAAATGACGCTCTAAAGGAAAGATGTTATGTAGTCATAGGGATGAAATGACGTCGTAAGAAAAATGCCGGCTCCTATGGGACGTCGTTGTCCAAAGGAGCCTAATTCCTTACGCCTCACAAAAAAAATAAATTGGGATTAAACGGGTAAGTAGTTCTGTTTGTCTAGCAGTTTGTGTCTATCATTTATTGTGTATTTAATTTTCCTTGCAGTTAAAATTTATCTAGTCCAAGGACCTTTTTAAGCCCCAGGAGTAGGGGTCCTTAATCTTTTTCTCTCTAGGCTTAGGGTTAGGCCTTGGCTACTAGGATAGGCCTATTCAATATTCCAAAGTGTGCCTTGTTTTAGGATCCTTAATCGATTGACAGAAAAGTAGGACGTAAAATCCATTCATTTCATTTCATTTCATCGACTGAATTACCCCTTCCCCTTCGAAATCCTTACTATTTCGTGATTTTCTTTTAGGGCAATTCCATCGTTACTCACGTTACATTTTCAAGACCCCACTTGTCATTTCATTACAACTGTACATAATATCACAGTAGTATATACTTGAAAATTTATATGAATAATTTAGAATGATGCAAATTTTACAATTTAGTTTTCTCAGATATCATTGTTAAATGAAGAGGTAGGTGTAAAAATGTTACTGTTACTAGCGTTACTTAGAACGGACATCAAAATTTGTGCTCGTTAGTTTTTCATAAAATTTACCCCCAAGGTGCATTTCTATCATGATAATAATGCTTGATGATTAAGGTTATTAACCAGTCTTTATGATAAACTATCCCTAAACACTTCATTGTAAATATGTACCAAGCTACCATTCAATCTTTAAAAGAAAATGCGTTACTCACGTTACGTTACTCATGTTACATTGAATATCACACATGCAACAATTGATTTGCATATTAAAATTTTTATACATTCATTTTACCTAATATGATCTGATCATACTGCACCAGTATGCAAAGGTTTTAATTTGGAGTTTATTTAATGATTCTGATTGATTTTTGAAAAATAAACACATTTGTGAAAGTTAATTTAGAAAAAAGAAGAATATTTTATCCTTTAATTAACAAATATTAACAAATATGGTACCCTCCTATTATTCAGTTATTTTTTAGTTTTTCAAAAGTGTTACTCACGTTACATAATATACGGTATCAATAACAAAATTCAGTAATTGATAAACTATCATAGATTGTCATTATTGAATAAGCTTCATAACATAACATAAATAATCATTAATATCTATTATACCAAACAAAAACTTAATATTGAGTTTAAAAAGAGGAAATAAAGAAGGTACTGACAGGAATGATTTGAGATATGTATTATTCGTAATCTAAAAATTGGAATCAAAATCTGATTTAAAATGAGAAAGTTTATTGGGGGATTTCTATTTAATAAAGGCCAATAAGCTTATTATTGATTAGAACAGGGATTCTTAGTTTACACAGAGTGCTTGTTTCATTACAGAATATTTGAATTTTTTCTCTGACCATTTTCAATACTTTCCGCTCGGATTATGACAAAAACCGTGTAAACATGCTCAATTATAATACATAAGTCTTTTCTACATTATGAAGCATAATCTTTCTAAAGTCAAACACAATCGTGTATATGAATTCTAACCTAAGTGTTACAATTTGTATTAAGGTGACATCAAAATTAGTGATCATTAAAAATAAGTATTTTTGCTTAAAAACTGCCATAAAAGACATTTTATGATGTGAGAGTTATAATGTATAATAAGCAAAATTCAAATGCCTAATTTAGAAGTTTTGTTCATTATAAAATAACTACAGTTTAGTTCAGAGTGATGCCATCGTACATAAGCCTTTTATTCACGAGGAGTTGAGCGTTACTCACGTTACATGTTCGCAATGTTACTCACGTTACAAATTTCAACTAGTTACTATTTGACTAGGTTGTTACATATGAATGTGTTACTTGGTATTAATTTAACACACCACATATAGAAGGAAATTACAAATTATCCCAAAAAGATCTTTAAAAAATTCCCCCAAAAATTAAACATTTTGTTGTTTTTGGACTATCGTGACACATGGATGTAATTTTGTAATTCCGATTACAATCTATATAATTATATTGGTCATTGACTTGACTGCATTTCAGGATAAGACTAAGAGAATGAAAGCTAAATATAAGCCATTATAGAAAAAAAAAACAGAAGCATAAAAAAGTTATATTGAGAAAGTAAGGTGAGTTACGATTAGGATAGAAATTTGATTGGTAAAGTAAGTGTAAGCCATTTTTGCCCAATCTTCTAGCTTCTGAAAAATTCTTAGGGTCAAACCTGTCCATGAGTTGGTCATCACGTAAACTGAATATCGCAAATCGTCACATAAAAATGATACTTACAGTATCCCTATTTGAGACACTGAGACAATGATAGCTGAAGCAGTGAAATAGAAATGAGATTTTCTGGGCGAACATTGAGACTTTTGGATGGCTCAGAAGTAATTCAAAGGGCGCAGTTCATGTTAATACTACAGCACTATATGAAAGATTGAATTCAATATACCGGTATTTGATGAATGGTTGTAAAGTCATTACCCTGATATTGATTAGCCTTAGTGTCATTATTTAGTGAGGATTTAAAGATCTAATTTATTGACAACAATACATTTTTGTCAACAGACAGAAGCAGAACAAGTATGAAAGAAATTTTGTGCTGAAACAGACTTCAAAGAAAACACTATGGAATCCAGTAAATCAGATGAAAGCGAACATTCATTAACTGTTCTTAACAAAGAAGCTACGCCAAGCTCAGGTGAAAATATATCCGGTGATAATAAAAATACCCAAATAAATTCCTCGATGTTGGAGAATTCGACGGGGAATGATGATAGAGTGGAAGATAGACAATTGTATCTTGAACGACCAACAACCCAAGCTGAGTGGCATATGATGTATCAACTGGCTTATGTTAAGGCAAGATTGCACACAATTGTGCTTAAAAGAACCGTGCGAGAAAACAGACAATCTACTGATCACAAAAATTCAATCGATATACGTCACATTTATCAGCAATTTGGACAAGTAATTTATAACGGACAATTAACAGATCAGATATACCTACAAAGAACTTTGCCAGGAAATGGACCACCAGAACTGCTGGAACAAGAGACTCAAAACAGACATATTACAGATCACCTATCAAGAACAGTGGCAAGAATCGGACCGCCACAGAGGCAAACACTTTGCAACAGGCAATTTACAGGTCCTCAATACCTGGAAAGGATACCGTATTATCAGTCGAGTTATGGACCATTACAAACGTATTGTGGACAACGACCGCCTGGGCAGACGTCTCACAATCACCCCGACCTACAAGGAACTTTGCCACCGTTTTACGGACCACAACAGCCAGGACTAGCGTCTCATTACACGCAATTTATAGATCCTCAATATCGACAAAGAACGTTTCCAGAAAATGAACCAACACAACTGTTGAATATACGGGAAAAATCTTTTGAGGTAAAAACGTTTTAACTACTTTGTTCATCTCCTGCACTAATACTTTATTCTCGATTTTAAGCTCGTCGACCAAAAAGACACTTTTAAACAATGGATACAAAATTTAGTTCTACCGACATTGAACAGTCGCTTGCTTAAGGTTTATTTAGCGTTTCTGCGCCTTGACACGCGTCATTCTCTGTCATATGGTCGAACGATCTGAGCAAATTCAATCAATAATTGTTGATAAGATGTGTATGCTATGGAGAGAGTAATTTCTTTATTTTCTATTACAGAATATGGCAAAGAAAGAACCGAAACAATCTGCTTCAGCTGAGGATGTGTTAGTTCAGCAGAGAATAGAAAAGACAACTCCATCTCATATGGTAAATATTTCAAAGCAAACAATATTCCTGCCATTTCTAGCATTTATTATAGACAGGATACATTCAGAATTCAGTTATCTGATTATTTGTTTTAAAAACTAAAGGAAATACTGTCTGCTTTTGGATGACTTACACCTTTCAGCATTCAAGTCAAAAATTTAGAAAAACAACATTTTTAGAACTTACGGTGGTAAGAATCAACAAATAGTACGTTAAGACCCTGAAATGCTAATAATTTGTCACAATTTTATCCGAAGAACCAAGTCTCAGGAGGTTTTCCATCCTGAATATGTATCGAGTCTTTTGGTATGGTTCTTCCAATTCGTATCATAATATGACTTCATGTTAGCAAATTTAATTCAAACCACGTGGATTTTGCTAGCAGTGATGGCAATCTGAGCACAACTGTAGGCCTACCCCCACTTAATTTTCAAAAAATTAAGAAATATGATTAATTCAATCAAACGTTTGTATGGTGAGCCCTCTAGGACGCACCAAAAGATGCTTGCAACTATGCCGCAATTCAGCTTCGACGGTGTTGTCTCACATTGACTCAGTCTGTCCCTGTTTGTACTCCCGGTCTCAGGAGGCTGGCGGCAACCGTCTGAGCAATTGGAATTTGAGAATAAAGGCAAAATAAGACGAGCAATACAAATGATGTAAATAGCCAAAAGTGTCGGCGATATATTTTTCCAAGTTTATGTTTACGTTTAGGTGCACATTGACAATTATAAATGGACTTACATAATACTGTACATTATTCTTTTAGAGATTAACCAGATTATCTGTACCGTATGAACACAGTTTATTACAGCTACGAAAAGAACAGATAATGGCATATTCTCCCATGGTAAATATTACCTTCTATAATGAAAGAAATATAAAGTGAAAAGCCACATGACCTGTACAAATGATTTCATAAAAGATTTATATACAAAACCAAGACTTCAGGTTACGCTTTTAAATCAGGGTTTGTCTGTATTTTATGATTTATTGACCGATTCCATGTTTGAAAAGCAACTATATTTACAAGGATAGCAACTTAAGTTCCCAATGAAGGGTCTTTTCTACCAGCTGGTTCTTGGCCAAACCTCTTGACACTGATTTTTCCCGAATCATCCACACAAATTTACAGCTAACTTGTAATTGAAGTAACCTGATGAGTAAGTACATAAGGTACATACGTCATGGTTCTAACATGGAAATAACACATACGAAGTTCACAATCATTTAGCATCTCTTCCTCGACATAAAAAGTTTGATTTTTCAACTAAGCCTTCAAGTCACATTTAAGGGATAAGAAATGGTTTTAAGTGTGATGTTTAGACTTTGTCAAAATAAAACAATAGACTTAGATATTCAAAATGGCTATGAACTGCGCTTTTGTGTGTTATTTCCATATAAGAACCATACGTAGATAGAAGAATATCTGATAAATTATAATGTTACATGATTTTTCTTTTAAGAAAAAACATTATGTTAAATTCACTTGCCTAAACAGTTCCATTTGTTTGGATTCTCGTACTCATATCAAAAGGGAAACGTTTGTATGTTAATTAGGCTAGGTTATTTCATGGTTACATTTCAATACACGATTAAACCGATTCTAGCCAAAAAAAACAAGGCACTAAGTTCAACTTTAAAATAAGATTATTATACTAGTGGCGACAATAGGAGACAAGAATAAATCATAATTTATGTTCCCATTGTGTATCGGGGACACTAATCACGAAGGGCTTTATGTGATAAAGCATTTTTGTTATTTTGCGAGTAGTGACGTCATCAAACACCTAGTTTTAGTTGAATTGCAGGAACCACAGACGTCTGAAAATTAGAATGGTTCATATTGATGATATCAGTGTCCCCGATACGTAGAAAACATTTAGAAAACGGGACTGTAAAGGGCCTATAAAAGCACCCTTTATCAAATATTTTGTTACGGGTATTATATATTATGCATCATTTAAATTTAGAGATTAACACAGAGTGCAATGGGAAGATTAGAAACATCTGTATCACTTGATGATGCCAGCTTACCTTTGAGACACGAACCTGAACAGTTTTCCGATACTTCAGAATTTTCATCGACCTCAAGACTTGGCAGTGAAACGATTGGTCATATAATAGACGAAAAATTAGATTCTTCGAAAAACATGATATGTAAGCGTATAAAGGTTGGATTCAAAAAGTATCCTAAAATAATAAAAAGACAAATTGAACCATTTTATCTTAGAAAAGGCCAACCAGAAAAAGAACATAAGTTACCATATTCATACAAAAAGAGGGCGAGTACGTCCTATACAATAGAAAAAGAAACACGAAAAAAAGAAAAAGCTAGTCAGCCAGAAGATGAACTAGAACAGTCAACCGTTTCAAATGATGTACATTCGTGCGGAGGCGTGGAATGTAAGTTAAAAGATGAACCAGAAGAGGCAGATGAACCGTCTGTACTATATTCGTCAGGTATAAGAAAAACGTCATATACCAGAGGTAATTCCCCTGATAGAGGAAAATCTCCACCACAAGCAACATCTGGTGAAGAGGAAAAATCTGAACCTAGAACAGCATCAGCTTCAAGAGAAATATCAAAGACATCTGCTTCGAGAGAAAGATCAACAACGAGGCGATTACCTTCTGAGGAAAGAAGATCATTAGCTAAAAGAGGTCTAGTTGCATCTCAAGTAAAATCTACCGAAAGAAGAATATCAGAGTCGTTGAAGGATAAGATAAGTAAATCAAAAATAATAGAAAGAACAGTTCAGGAAAGCGAACTTTCTAGCCAGACTGAAGACGATTATCCCATAAAAGAAAAAAATCAGATATTAGATGAACCAAAACAGACAGTTGTAACCTCTTTATCGACGTCGCAAGAAGAAGATATAAGTATTGTCCATGAACTCAAAAGCACAACACAGGAAGAAGAAATTTCAACTCAGTTAAAAGATGAACCAGAAGAGGCAGATGAACCGTCTGTACCATATTCGTCAGATATAAGCAAAACGTCACTTACTAGAGATTTTTTCCATGATAGAGGAAAAACTCCAACACAAGCAACATCTGGTGCAAAGGAAAAATCTGAACCTAGAACAGAATCAGCTTCAAGAAGAAAATCAAAGACATCTGCTTCGAGAGAAAGATCAACAACAAGGCGATTACCTTCTGAGGAAAGAAGATCATTATCTAAAAGCAAATATCCCAGCAAAATAATATCACTTAAAAAGGGTGTAGTTCCATCTCAAGTAAAATCTACTGAAAGAGGAATATCAGAGTCGTTGCAGGATAAGATGGGTAAATCAAAAATAATAGAAAGAAAAGTTCAGGAAAGTGAAATGTCTAGCCAGACAGGAGATAAACGTCCAATAAAAGAAAAAAATCAGATATTAGATAAACCAAAACAGACAGTTGTAACCTCTTTATCGACTTCGCAAGAAGAAGATTTAAGTATTGTCCATGAACTCAAAAGCACAACACAGGAAGAAGAAATTTCAACTCAGTTAAAAGATGAACCAGAAGAGGCAGATGAACCGTCTGTACTATATTCGTCAGATATAAGAAAAACGCCACTTACCAGAGATAATTCCCCTGATAGAGGAAAATCTCCACTAGGAGTATCATCTGCTGGAAAGGAAATTTCTGAACCTAAAAAAGCATCATCTTCAAGAGGAACATCAAAGACATCTGCTTCGAGAGAAAGATCAACAACAAGGCGATTACCTTCTGAGGAAAGAAGATCATTATCTAAAAGCAAATATCCCAGCAAAATAATATCACTTAAAAAGGGTGTAGTTCCATCTCAAGTAAAATCTACTGAAAGAGAAAAATCAGAGTCATTGCAGGATAAGATTGGTAGATCAAAAATAATAGAAAGAAAAGTTCAGGAAAATGAACTATCTAGCCAGAAAGGAGACAAGCATCTCGTCAAAGAAGAAATTCAGATATTAGATGAACCAAAAGAGACAGTTACAGCCTCTTTATCGACTTCCCATGAAGAAGATATAAGTATTGTACATGAACTCAAAAGCACAACACATGGAGAAGAAATTTCAACTCAGTTAAAAGATGAACCAGAAGAGGCAGATGAACCGTCTGTACCATATTCGTCAGATATAAGAAAAACGTCACTTACCAGAGATAATTCCCCTGATAGAGGAAAATCTCCACCACGAGCAACATCTGGTGCAAAGGAAAAATCTGAACCTAGAACAGAATCAGCTCAAGAAGAAAATCAAAGGC